TGTTAGCAAGATAAACGAGCACACACTCACGAGTGGGGATTAAAATTAAACACTTGAATTCTCTGTTAAATTTTATTGTAAGATCTCAATCTTACATTATGATTTGTTAATCCATAATATAAAATCAAGTATTCAATTAAATTAATTTTCTTCATAACTAATCCTACTGTATGGTATGAGTTCATACAGGATGATCAATATTTTGATAAAACTCTGCAGTTGAATCTAAGTTATCAAATATAGACAAATTTAAAATTTGAATTTTGACATAATCGTATTGTTCGAAAGATTTCGTACTGTGCAATTATTAATTAATATTACCTAATTTGGACTATTGATCATGCAATCAAAGCAGGATCAAATCTTAATTGACAATTTTACTATACGATCTAAATCGTTCAATACAATTTAACAGAACATTTGGTGTACAAACATTGGTTCTTCTTGAACGTTCCTTGATTTGATATAGCTAATTGTACTGTATAATTAATTATTATACTGTCCGATTTTTTAGATCTAAAAAATGGGTGATTGACTAATCATGCAGTACGATACACACTTCATATTGTACGATTAGAAGAACATAATTGAAAATTAGGGTTTGATTTAAATAGCCCAACATAATTCTTTTCATAACATGAGAGGGGATGTAAGTGAGCAGCTTGAGACGTTTTTTTTTCTAAGAGAGATATCTTTGGAGAGGGAGAGGCGTCTCTTTGTTTTTGAGAGTGTCCAATCCACTTGGGAGAGGGAGAAGGTGAGGTTAAGGGATTGTTTCTTGAGAGAGTCAAGGGGTGTGTGAGGGAGCACACGGTTTTCCTCACCAACCTGCACTTTGGATGCTCCAGGTTGTGGTTTTGGAGCGCTTGGAGAGGAGCTCTAGCCGAGGAGGTTAGGGGAGCGACATCTCCGTTGTTGCGAGGAGTAGAAGGATGGAGATACATCTTCGCCGTTGTGAGGAGCAGAAAGAAGGAGAGGCATATCAGCCTTTGCGGGAAGCATGAGGATTGAGGCTTTTCGGGAGAAAGAGCTTTGTAAAGGTTATTCTCCAGTTGGGAACAGAGAAAGGGCTTCTCCGCATTACTGAGTGTATGAGTGTTTACTAATGGAATTCACAAAGAGTAGGACCTTTGGGGAGTGAACGTTTGTTAAGTTTGATTGAACCACTACAAAAATTGTGGTTTATCTTTTTTTTTTTACTTTTCTTCATTTTATCTCATGCAAGCTTTAATTTTTGAGATTTGTGATTTGATGTTATTGTGATTGCAATCTTTAGAAATTTAGTTTTGAGAATATTTTCTTTGAAGTAATCATTAGTAATTCTATTGCTCTAAAATTTTTAGAACAAAAAAAAAGTAGTAAAAAAAAAAAATCTATTAGCATTGTTTGCTTTATTTGTTGTCTAAAGTTGGAATTGTTATTCAAAGTTATTTTCGGCTGCATATTGGTTTGTTCCTCTTTAGTTAAATTTTAAAATAACCACCCCAACCCGCCCCTCACAACCCCCCCCAAGTGTGCCTTAACACTATCAGATGTAGTTGGTTGAGCTAAGTGATCTTATATTAAGATGTCTTAAGGATTCAACATCAACAACTTGAGGATTTATTATTTTGTATCTTTTATTTTATTTTCTTCATCTATATATTTGAGGTGGACCCATTTACCGGAAATGGTTGCAGCATGACAACAAGATGCATCTGCCATTGATAGTTAATGGAAACAATGAAATCATGGGACTTCATGATGAACAACAGTGACAACTTGGTTTATCAATTGCGGTACATCAACAGCTAGTTGTTATTTGTGGAACACATTGGCCAGAAGTGTTTGCAGCAACAACACAAGTTTCTCCAACATCCAACAATGATAGCAAGAGGCATCTACTATTGACAGTTAATGGAAAAAATAGGTTTTATCTTTGGTGCTACTCTAGTGATGAAATTATGCAATTGCATTCTCCTCTTGAACTCCATGAAGAGCAACATTCACAACTTGGTTTTATCAATGGTAGTTCAATTCTTGCAACAACTCCCTTACAACTTTTGGCAGTTATAGCTCCTCCAACAAATTTCAATAGTGATAGACCGAAGTGGCAAGCTTTAGCAACCATGTCCACCTCCCACTTCTCAAATATCCCGCTTGCGCTTTGGCACCATTCGTCAAAGCTCACATCCTCCAACCAGGAGATTTCTGTTGTATTTGATTCCTTTCATTCTAGTGCTCCACGGACCTTTGCAAAATTATGCATTCTACATTAACGACTTTACTTTATTCTTTCCAGTAAGAGAGTAGTAGAGAGATTGGGAACATCTGCTAGGTGATACTAGTCTTTTTTTCATCATTACAAGCATAATACCATCATACATGGTAAATTCTAGTGGGCGCTGAAGTGGTCCTTTAAAAAAAATGCAAGCTATAGTAATGAAAGCATGCTTCCAATGCCTTCTTAACATCGATGATTCTACCACCATGCTGCTTTTTCCATGATGTGCAAGCTACTATCAGTGGTGATGTGCTCACGACCTCCTCTGGCAATGATGTGCTTCTTGAGAGATTTGCAGCCCACTGTAATGCAGCCGTGCTTTATCTTTCTCTCCGTCAACGATGAATTCATCAGTGGCATAATCCTAATGAGATGTATGCTCCTCTGGTGTGTATGTAAGTTTGAAATATAAATATATTAATCTTGTAAAAATATTTAGAATATAATTTTTATTATCTTCAATTTTAACTTCTTACAGAAGAATTTAGAATATAGTGATCATTATCATGAGTTAATAGATTAATTTATAATTGAATTTGATATGAAACTATAAAAATATTTTCTTATGAGAACAATCACCATCTTCTTTCATAAATTAAACATGATGGATGTCTTTATCAATGTTTGATCAATCAAGAGCTTTCATAATATCTTAACGAATAAAAAATTTCAAGTTTTTTAAGTTGGAAATATTTAGTTTTATGCTTAATAGTTGGTAAGCATTGATCGTCAGTGGTTAGACAACCGTGCGTAACATTACAACAATGATGTTTTGGAAGATTGAGCTTTACCATGCGTACCATGCTATGATGCACAGACATGAACACGACATGGACACGTGAATTATTGAAAATATATGATACGGACACGGTATTATAGTTTTTATATTTTAAAAATAGTTTATAAATTGAATAAGTATAATTTTAAAAATAATTTAAAATTAATAAGTCATTTAACTATAATTTATGCTTAAAATGATTAATATTAGGATATCAAGAGTCGAGCTTTGATGTCGTTTATCAATCATTGAGAGAGGAGATGACAATGATGTCGAGACTCGGGCATTGATATTATGCAATAAATATTGGTCGTCAATGTTAAAAATGTGTTTATCATCGATGCTGAGAGAGCGTTGGACAAAGATGATATGTCATGTTGTGGGTGTAAAAATTGCTAGCATCGAGCATCAATATAAAGACAACGTCAGCTTTGATATGGAGATCGTTTTGAAATGTTGATGTTATAACAACGTTAGACGTCAATGTTGAGATGATATCTAGCGTTGTTGTGAAATCAAAGTTGTAACCCGCCAAAGAGAAATGAAAATGAGAATATTTGATGAATAGGGTATCAAGTGCGGACGATTGATTTGATGTTGTGGATAAGAAATAAAAAACTTAGTTTTTATATTTTAAATAAGCAAAAGTTTTAAATACAAGAAATTATATTTAAAAAAATTCATAAAATATTTAGGATACGTGTGTCGGACACGTGTGTCCAATTTATATTTAATATTTCTTAATTGGACACATTTTCGGCTTGTCTGACACGTGTTGGAAGAGTGTCGGACGCGTGTTGTGTCGGATACGTGTCGGACACTGCACGCCTCATTGAAGAGAAGTGTCGGTGCATCATAGGTACCATGGAAGAATAAAAAAGATGAGATGTAATATATTGTATTCTTTTTTTATGAGAAACTAATGAAATGATAAGTTTTGTTTTCCATTCCAATTGATGATGTTCTTATTTAAGACTTTCTTGTTGATGGATTTCTTTCTTTCTTTTTACTTTTTTTTTTAAACTATCATTAGTTTGTCACTTATTTTTTTATTTATTTTTAACTTTATGCTTAAGAGAAGAGTTTGTATTGTGGAGAAGAAAGTGATATACAAAATTTATTAAGATTCTAAATATTATTATTTTGTTCAACTTATATTAATTTTTCATGAGCAGCAGTGCATTGTGGCATTTTCTTCTTTTATCTATTTTGTGAGGAATTCAGTATTGAATGAAAACATTTGAATTGCAAATTCTTTTGTACTGCAGAGTCCGATCTGTATCTTTTCCCTTGTATTTGATATGAAAACTTTTGCTGTTTATTTTGAACTGTTTAGAGCACATGGATACCTCTGTTTGCTTGGCATGATTTTTATTCTTATCTCCCAAAAGAGAAGAATACTTATTCATCTCTTTTGTAAGGTGTTTATTTCAAAACCTTGTTTTAGTTTGAAAAAGTTACACATGTAATACCCAAATATTATTATTTATGAAACTAATTCTGAAACGTTCAAAATGAACTACTTCTATCTATTTACTTGTGATTCACCCAAATCATTAAAAATTTAATATAACTAACTCTCAAGGTGGTAGTTTTGGTGTATTTTAAATGTTGTAGGTTGTTGGTATTGTAAATTAAAATATTTGGTGATAATTTTGTAAATGAAAATATGTAAGATTTTTCACGTATATTTGCTGTTTTTAGTTTTTAGATGATTACTTACCTCACGGCTGGTACTGTTGATGCGATCAGTAGATCACGTTTAGCCTTCGTTTGGGATAGCTTTCGTACTGCTTTATAAAGCAGAGTTTTAGTACAAAAAGTTTTTGCAAGAAAAAAATTGTACTAAAACTTTGTTTTATAAAACAGTAAGAAAATTGTCCCAAACGAAGCTTTAGTTTGCTTCAGTCTTTTAGCGAATTCTTTGACTGAGCTGAACTGTTCCGTTCCTTTGTTCAGACATGGGTGTAGAGCGATATGTGCGGCTGGAAGGCTTAACCGAACCTCAAATCAACAAGGCACTCGAAGAGCTAGTGAAAGCTGGAGGAATCCTTTAAACCCTAAAGGCGTCGAGTATCTTCATATCAGACTTTTTAAACTGAAATAAGAGGATATGGTCTTCTTGACCAATGTGGACTTCTCTTTCAGCCACATATCCTGTTCAGTGTCAGCCATCAACTAGTTGAATCATGCAGCGACAACATGTTCTTTTCTGAAAGCTAAGTTGTTTAAAACAAAGTAGCGTAATATTATGTTACCTGAAACTTTCTTATAGTTTGGCTGAGAATTTTTAACTGCAGTGTTGTTTGTGTACATTCGTGTGGTAAGTCTACACTAATATTGAAAGGTTTTATTGTTATCTAGTTTTCACTGAATAAGGTTTTATTTAGATCCTGCGTCTGGATTTCCGTTTTTCAAGTGAAGTTGCCAGTTTCACTAACTATTTTTTTTATACGGTAATCCTTATCCCTCTACTTGTGATGCGGCTTCCTTCCTTCTTTGATAGTTGTTGTTGCTATTCAGTTGACGATAGGAGAATAGGAATGGAACAATTTTGTTGTGAGCTAATGTCTTTTTTGCTTATTTATGGCCATTATTATGGTTGTTTAGGGATTTGTATTATTTAGATAAAATTGAATAATCAAATCTAATTAATTTTATTTGGTTGATCTAATTCAGTTGTTCAAAATATTAATTTGATATTTTTAGAGTATTAGAGTTTGAAGGTTATTGTAAGCGTCTATGAATTAAAGTTATCTGTTATCATATTTGTATTATGGAAAATATAAAACAAAAATTGTATGTAAACGATTTTTTTCTTACATTTTGATATTGTTTTTGTGATTAAACTCTTTGAATTTTAATATCTATAAACATGTCAAGCTAGGGGTAGAGAACTTGTAATTTGGGATTGACATTTGGAAGCGAAGAAGTTGGGTGGAGTTGTGCTGTTGGAGTAGAGCCTTTAGTCCCATAAATGTAGTGTCAAGAGTGCATGTATAGAGCATATAATCACCAAAAAGAACTTAAATATGATGATTAGAAAAATGGTCAAAATGATTTTACAGTTTTATTTGAATATATGTGATGTAACATTCAAGTTTGGTCGAAGTAGATTTACAAAACAACATAAATCTATATCAATTCAAGCTTCGTTTGGGACGGCTTTCTTTCTGCTTCTTAAAGTAGCTTCCTAGTAAATTTTTTTTTTTGTCTAGGAAGTTGTTTTAAGAAGCAATAAGAAAGTCGTCCCAAACGAAGCCTAAGTCACTATATACTAAAGTTGTAAATACAAGCAACTAATTTAAGTAATGGTGAAGTATAAAATGAGAGCATGTTATGTGATGCAAGCTTGGAGTTACACAAGATTATAAAGAGAATTTACTAAAAGTTTAATCGTTATAAAATTATGCGTCAATTCCAAGTTAGTTACAAGAATTCTCATTTCTCAGTATTCCACTTGCTTAGGCAAAGAGTTGTATGAAGATTAACCAAGACAATTTAATCAAATACAAAGGCGAAGTAATGTAAGAGCTTAACACACAAATTCAAAAGTTAATAAGGAGTTGTTCACCTTGAGGATCTACTCTCTTCCCTACGAATCTAGGTTGAGCGGAGGAAGATCGTCCACACTAGGAATGAGGTAGCCACTAGGACGGATGAGCCGAGGAACTTCGTTGTTGGGAAGGTAGTCAGAGGTGGAGGTGGCACAGGTGGATGACCGTTGATGGTCCACTCGTAGTCCGAGAATTGATCATCGATGACGTCCACAAGGGTGGGGAGGATTTGGTTCAAATACTCTTCAACGGTGTCGTCAAAACCAAACCCGACGTCAAAGAACGGTGAACGAACGATGTGGATGTCTCCGTAGACGTCGAACACGAATTCGCTATCAACTTCGGGATCCGCCATGCATCATTTGCATGTAGATGAGAGAGCACAACAAGAAAACCCAAGAGAGGAGAGGGGCGGCCAGCTTGGAGGATTGGCGTGAGAAGGGGCGGCTAGGGTTAGGGAAAACTTAGGGATTCTCAATAAATATGAATTTAATTTCAGATTTAAGTGATTTTGGAGGGAAATGTTTGAATTTCAATTTCAAAATTAAATGAGGGTGGGGGTTAATTTGGCAAGGGAGGGATTTTGCCCATGTATGGGGGCCGGCGGCATAGAGGGAAGAGGGGAGAAGGGTTTGTGGAGAAAACTGAAATCAATTTCAGTTTTAAGTGAAATTGGAGGGAAGGTTTTTTTGAAATCAATTTTAGATTTCAAATAAGGGGAGGTGCATTGAATGCATTCAAGGGAAATCCCCAATAAGGGGGCGGCGGCTTCAAGTAGGAGGAGATTGTGGGAGGAAGGGAGGGGGTTTCTAAATGCGTAATGATGATTAGGAAAGATAATTATTAAATTCAATTTGATTTAATTTAAAATTGGATTTAACATAAAGAACTTTCCTAATTTGGATTTCCCAATTTGGAAAGAATTTGAAATTCGAAATTTGAATTTCAAAAGGATGGCAGGAAGAAAAGAGATGTGGTGGCCGGATGGAGGGGGGGGGGTCGGTGGCGAGGTGGCCGGCCGGTGGTAGGATGGCCGGCGGCAGCTTCAAGGGATGGCGGCAAGGGGTGGGGGTCGGGTTCTTCAAGCCAAGGGTTTTGTTGTTTTCTTTTGAGGTGGAAGAGGAAGTGATTGGTGGAAGAAGATAAGAAAATCAAGAATCACGATCCTTACACTTTCCCCTAAAACTCACAAAGAGATCTAATAGCTTTCTCCTCAAGAACTAACAAAGAGATCTAGAGGAGTTTTGGAACTCACAAAGAGATCACCAAGAAAAACTTTCATTTATCCATAATCAATCCTCATACATAATAAGAGAGCCATATATATAGGCTTCCAAATGATAGCTAACACAAAAGACTAGAATGCCCCTTGGTCTACAATAGCGACTAACTACCCATAAGGATAAAAATGGAAAGACTGAAATAACATGACTAGTACATAGAATGCTAATACAAAAAATGCATCAAAAGTAAAGACTCTCCATCATGGCCATCGATCTCCTATGTCGCCTCTGATAAACGCGTCGAAACCTCTTGTCGATGTCCCCATCATTCTCCCCGGGTGGGAGAAAACTCGACCCCGTCGAGTGAGTACTGTGGATGCTCTCGTATAGCTCTAGAAGGTCTGTATCCAATCTCTGTAGCTCCTCTCGATCAATCCATGTGTCCTCTGTTTCTGGTGTTCCTTTCTAATGAACTAAGTACCTTCGGCGCTCTCCTTCCTTTGTGGAAATAATCTCATCATCTAGAATGGTTTCGATCTTCTCCGCATTATAAGCTTCCAGTCGCGGAATTTGCTTATAACAACTCTATCAACCAAACCACTGGCATAAGTCCTGCTGAGATTGTGTGCGGATACCAACCCAAGCAACCTATTGATCTAATTCCCATGAGTCCTAGGGGAAGAATATCAGAGTCTGCATTTGCATCTCATATCCATGAGTTATACACTGAGATTAAAAAAAAAATTGAACAAAGTAATATCAATTATAAAATTATTGCTAATAAGAAAAAAAGGTTTAAGGAATTCGAAGTTGGAGACTTTGTGATGGTACGAATCCCGCCCAGAGTGTTTTCCTCCCGGTCCCGTAAAGAAGTTGCATGCGAGAAGCGCCGGACCTTTTAAGATAATTTCAAAAGTTAACAGTAATGCTTATGTGCTAGACCTCCCATGAGGTTTTACATAAATCCAACTTTTAATATAGAGGATCTAGTAGCCTTCGAGGGTCCTGATTTTAACCCTAACAATCCACTTTACGATGAGTCTTGTGTGACCCCACCTGGTGAGATTTCTAGCCTTTCTTCACTCCCAATTTATCCCATTTACCCAATGCGGAGAAGATCGAAACAATTCTAGATGATGAGATTATTTCCACAAAGGAAGGAGGGCACTGAAGGTACTTAGTTCATTGGAAAGGAACACCAGAAACAGAGGACACGTGGATTGATCGAGAGGAGTTACAGAGATTGGATCCAGACCTTCTAGAGCTATACGAGAGCTTAAACAGTACTCACTCGACGGGGTCGAGTTTTCTCCCACCTGGGGAGAATGATGGAGACATCGAAGAGGTTTCGACGCGTTTATTAGAGGCGACACAGGAGATCGATGGTCATGATGAAGAGTCTTTACTTTTGATGTATTTTCTGTATTAGTATTCTATGTACTAGTTATGTTATTTCATTCTTATGGGTAGTTGGTCGCTATTATAGCCCAAGAGGCATTCTAGTCTTTTGTGTTAGTTGTCATTTGAAAGCCTATATATATGGCTATCTTATTATGTATGATGATTGATTATTGATGAATGAAAGTTTTTATTGATGATCTCTTTGTGAATTACAAAACTCCTCTAGATCTCTTTGTGAGTTCTTGAGGAGAAAGCTATTAGATCTCTTTGTAAGTTCTAAGGGAAAGTGTAAGGTTCATGATTCTTGATTTTCTTATCTTCTTCCACCAATCACTTCCTCTTCCATCTCAAGAGAAAACAGCAAAACCCTTAGCTTGAAGAACCCGACCCCCACCCCTTGTCGCCATCCCTTCAAGCCCAAGCTGCCGCCGGCCATCCTACCATCGTCCGGCCACCTTGCTACCCCCCCCTCAATCCGGCCACCACATCTATTTTCTTCCTGCCATCCTTTTGAAATTCAAATTTCGAATTTCAAATTCTTTCAAAATTGGGAAATCCAAATTAGGAAAGTTCTTTATGTTAAATTCAATTTTAAATTAAATCAAATTAGATTTAATAATTGTATTTCTTAGTCATCATTACGCATTTGGAAACCCCCTCCCTTCCTCCCCCAATCTCCTCTTACTACTTGAAGCCGCCGCCCCCCTTATTGGGGATTTCCATTGAATGCATTCAATGCACCTCCCCTTATTTGAAATCTAAAATTGATTTCAAGAAAACCTTCCCTCCAATTTCACTTAAAATTGAAATTGATTTCAGTTTTCTCAACAAACCCTTCTCCCCTCTTCCCTTTATGCCGCCGGCCCCCATGCATGGGCAAAATCCCTCCCTTGCCAAATTCAGCCCCACCCTCATTTAATTTTAAAATTGAAATTCAAACCTCTCCCTTCAAAATCACTTAAATCTGAAATTAAATTCAGATTTATTGAGAATCCCTAAGTTTTCCCTAACCCTAGCCGCCCCTTCTCACCCCAATCCTCCAAGTCGGTCGCCTCTCTCCTCTCTTGGGTTTTCTTGTTGTGCTCTCTCATCTACATGCAAATGATGCATGGCGGATCCCGAAGTTGATAGCGGATTCGTGTTCGATGTCTACGGAGACATCCACATCGTTCGTTCACCGTTCTTCGAC